GGGTTGGGCCCCTTGGCCATTGGAGTAGATATGGCAGAATTTTAGAACCATGGTGTGGCTCCCCAGTCTTTGTTCCTTGCCCTCTGCCTCAAGAACAGCATGTTCTTTCTTCCCCCTCCGAGCCCTCTGATTGTTTGATCGATGATGAACATGAAATGTAGGAAACTGCCGTTTCTGCAGGTCAAAAATGGTCACGTGTCAGCAAGTGTATACGGTTTAACAACTGAAAACACTAGTAGCAACAAGGCATTGATTCTACTAGCTCGTCGATTCCTCTCGGAAACCTTGGAATTATTCACACCCCCACTTCAAAGATGGGGAAGCATGATGTGCAGGTTTTTAAAACCACCCAGCTCATTGATGGTGGATCTAGATTCCACATCAAGCTTCAGTTGTGACCCTCTGTTGTTCAACATGCTCCTTCCCAGGGTGCTCTCCTCTTCTCTCAGGTGCTGTTGCATATTCTTTGTGCAAGTACGGACCGCAGTCCCCGTGACTTGGGAGTTACATCGTTAGAGCTCACAGTTATGTACCTGGAACTTTGTTAAGTGTGTGGTATCCATCCTTTTAATCCCCATTTCACAGATCAAGGAAGAGAGGATCAGTTCATTACTATGCTTACTGCATTGCACAGAAGTTGCTTAAATGACCAAAATAGCAGGTGCGGTTTTAGCAAGAACAGGGAAAACCAGGATATCAGCCTTGAAACGCAGTGGTTTGGCTTGTGTATGGACGAATTACCTCTCTTTATACAGTATTATACAAATCCACTTAGGTTTCCGAATCTAAATATTATGCTCAAGGTTTCCTCTCTCCTTCCATAGAGCCTGTTTTCCGGATCTATCATCAACCAGTGCCATTAAGAACATCATGCCTCCATGATCAAAGGCGCAAGTCCCTATTTCAAGAATTCTGAGCATTAGAGCAGACAAGCAGCGGTGAATGTGCTGGAGAATATCTATCATGAAACTGAGCTTCCTGGCCATATCTGGTCAATGTCCTCTGGAAGCAAACTGCCTAGGTTCTAAGTGGAGTAAAAAATTAATTTACAATCACAAGTCATCTGCTTTCTAAATGAGTGGGTTTACTGCCAGAGGGCAATCCATATATTTAGTAAAGTAATATCCTATCCCACTATTAGCCACTTATTTATTTTCCAAATCCTTTTCCACCTGCTTAGTTTCAAAAGAATCTGGTTTCCCCGGTGGTTCTAGAATTTAGGACCTCCAGAGCATGCCTACCAAGTGCTGAGCCCAGTTTAGCTACAGGACCTCAGAAATTCTCCAATTCAAATTCTACCCAGCTATATATCAGCAGGTACTTACATGCATTACTCACACAAATCTCTGAGAAGAAAGTTTAGTTATAAGAAGCTGAAGATTTCACTTAGGAATGTGCATTCCAGCCTCAAAAATAGAGAGTCACAATGTATTTCTTTTCTCAAGAATGTTGAGGTTTACACAAAATGAATTCTCGGTCATCATTTAAAAAATGGCCATATTTTCAGACATTTAAGTGGATATTTTATTTAATATTATGTTATGTTGATGATCTTGGTTGATGGAGAACTGTTTAAAAGAGAAACTAATAAAACGCCAAAAAAAGAGGAAACCCACACTTCATTGATTTGAATATGTTTTAGATTATAGGATAAAATCACCAACTCCTGACCCCCAGCCAAAATGATGAAGTAGATCCAGATGTCACAGATATGAAGCCAAATGTCCACATCACATCTTAAACACAACCAGTATTTAATCCTGTGAAGGTACGGAGTGATAGCTCAGGTACATGAGTGTATCAAGGAAAGGGAGGGAGATGTTGGCTTGATATAGAAAGGTAGTGAAGCAAGTGTCCACCAGCGCTCTGAATTTATGTGGACCCTCCCCCAAAGCTTAATATTTTCAGCTCGTTGAGACAGATTTCCCCAGTACCTACCCATTCCCCTGGCATTAAGTTTTCAGAAGACAGTCTGCAATTACCGGGTGGCAAAATAATACTTTTTAAAATGAGAATAGACCATTGATACTAAGTTTGTGTTGACACCATCTCTACTCTGATTTCCAAACTCATATGCTAGCAAGACACTTTTTCAAACATGTGGGGGCTCCCTGCCCCTGTCGTTTGGAGCTTTCTCCAGTAATGGGTGCCATCTCTTTGTAACAACTATTGGCCTGTTGATTGCCAGAGTCGATTTGGATGATCTGCCCAGTTTCTTTCTCTCTTGGATATTTTTGACTACCTGTCCCCCTTGTTACCCAAAGAGATGTAGGTCTCTATGGACAAAAGTTATGGCAACCATATTTCCCAAGCCTAGGATGGGAATATTCATAGTCTGGCGAGTACAACTATACTTCAGCATATGACAGCCCATAAGATCTTTCTGGAACGGGTGGTCATCAGCCTGAAGACCGGTAGATATTAAATGTTAATGTGCCCCCAGCACTTCCAGGTCCAGATTATTCTACCTTCAAGCAGTTATTATATTTGAATGAGTGACCGAGGGTTTAAAAGGCATTTGCAATTTGTGAGACTTTTAAAACCGTTGTGTTTATTTTTTGAATATTCAAATTGCTATAGCATTTATACTTTAAAAAAATGTATTAATAGAAGCACCTAGATTTAGCCTTTTCAGTCGGCCACCATGTTTAGTCACTGGAAGCCACGAAGAATCCCCGTAGCATGGGTGCTAAAGGAGTCAATGTCAGAAAGGGCAGTGGGACATGATGCAGCAAGTCTTGCATTCTGGTTTGGGGCCATTTACCGAAACCCTATCTGAAATGGAATGGGGTACTGTCCTGGCTCCCTTCTCAGTAAGAGCCTGCCTGGTGGCCCATCCTCCTTCGTCCTTGACTGAACAAGGATGCCAGATCTCCTCCAAATGGGGGACCACAGGCAGGGGATAAAGAGTGCACAGCACCGTGCCTTGTGGTTAGCAGCTTTCTGGCCTGACCCGTGGGCATGTGACCCCCGGCCAAGCCAGCCAAGGCTCCCAGGGGCCACAATGGCCAGTCCATCCCTACAGATGCGGGCTAGGGTAGAGGAAGAATCTACATCACCACAGAGGTTAAGTCCATGCTACTCCAGGCTAGATGGGCAAGACAAAAGCAATCCATCCAGGCTGAAGAATCCAGACAAGGGCGGCTAGAGAGAGACCAAAGGCTGGGTCTGTTTCGCTTTTCCAATGGAGTAATCAGGGTCCTACACAATATCCATCAATGTGATAGCTAGGCAACATTTCTGGAAGAACTATCTCGAGGAAAGTAGACTGTGAAAATGTTTCCAGAATAGTTTTCTCTAGCCTGCCTTCTCTTCTTTAGAACTCCTTGCTAACGCTTAGGTATACCAACAGTCGTAGCTTAATATTCATCTCATTAGCTAACATTATTGAAGCAGAATTTGCATGAAATGGAATCGGAATTTGGTATCTGAGAAAAAAAACACACAAGTTGTATATTTACGAGTTTCTTCTTGAATGTCTGAAATCGCTCTCCCACTCTCTCTCTATCCACCTGCTGGTATACACACCAGGATTCAAAGAGCCGGCATCTGAACTTGAGAAAATAAAAGTAACTCTTCACTGTCCCTTTTCAAAGCAGGAACAATGATCACCTGCAGCACACAACCACTGTTCCCAGAGCTGGCTGCCTGTGCGCACAGTTAGTTATAAAACTCTCCACCTACTGGGACGAAGGAAAATGAGATAGCAGGAAGATGGAGGCTGTTAGTTTGCTCCTTGGTGAATGAAGGATAGGATGCATGGAAAGAGGAAGAATAGCCTCAGATCTCAGTTCCCACACCCACGAAGATAAATGCTTTCCTGCATCTTCTGAAGCAAAGACCTCTGTTAGTTTGGTGCAACCAAGCCTGTGTGTGTTGGGCTAGTAAACCACCATTGGAATCTACATCCCTGGCAATTGGCAAACCCAAACCTAAACAGGTTTTCCATCATCACACGTGAACTGCAAGCTCTAGCCAAACTGAGGAACATCTTTCACTTCACTGGAAGCAAAAGGGTTCTGAAGCTGTTTTAGAAATACATATATATCTTAGCATCTAAAATCATCACTCAAATAGAAAATGCATCTGTGACTTGAAACAGATGGAGACACCCCCAGCCCACCCACCTACTGATGTTGCTTCGTTGGGAAGACAGGCAATGTGGTAGGAGTTCTAGTTTGTTACCATCAGTTGAAAAGGTCCCAAAGCCCAGCACACAAATGCAAAATGAAACATCTTTGCAAGCTATTTTCTGGACTGTGTGCCCAATTAGGGGAAATGGAAAATCCAGCCCTGGATTCCTCTTCCATCTGCCTTTTTTTTTTTTTTTTTTTTTTTTTAGCAGTTGATGGGACATGTCAACATGGCATCTAGCATCTCAGCTGTGTGGAGTCAGTGAGCAAGCTTACACAGATAGAGAAAGCCGGCTTGTCCTCAGCTTCCTCTCAGATCTGATGAGGAAGAATGGTTCCATTGTCCGTGACTCTAACAAACAGAGCAAAAATAATCTGCAAATAGACAAGAAAGGAGCAGCAGTCCTGTCAGGATAGATCGTCTAAGATGAGGTGTCAGACACCCAGGGATCCCATGGGATTCATGCATCCTTTGGACATCATGACTTCAAACATCTTCTTTTTCTTTAAACTTTTTGTTTTGAGATCATTGTTGATTCACATGCACTTGTGAGAAATAATACAGATAGATCCCTGTACCATTTACCCAGTCTTTCCCAGTGAGGAAACGTCTTGCAAGCCGATGGTATAATATCACAACCGGGATAATGACATTGATGGAATCCACCCCTGTGTGTTGTGCTCTGCAAATCAATTTAACCCTTTGAAAAAAGATCAAATCCATAAAAATACCTCAGGTTGGACAAGCGGTCTTTAGATGACATTTCATGTATTTATGCGCAGACAGCTTTGTTTGACCGACGGAGGGGTGGCGGGTAGTGTTAACGCCTGGAACCGTGGGTTCTTCCAACAGTTCAAAGTTCTCTTTCACTGGCAGCACTTCCCATGGAGGAGGAGCTTCCTTGCATTCTGCTTCAGTTAAGGATTTCCTAAAATTAAGATCATAGAGTGTCCAGAGGGATATGACCCAAACGCCCAGATACAGAACAGAAACATGAGGCTCCTGAGCTTAAAAATCTGTGAAGAGAGCAAAGCAGCTGTCATGCAGTGGGAGAGGCAGAGGACCAGGAAGGACAGACAGACAGAAGCGACCTCACATGGACAGCTGTGCTAGGGACCCTGATGCCCATCGCCGCGTTTCTCATCTGCCAGGTGTGTCTCCCCAGGGAAAACATCAAGAGCAGGGCAGAAGCAAGGAAGATAAATAACGGCGATAATAACCTCACAAGAAAGACGATCTGTAAAGCAGATGTTTCTTTGATTTGAGTTGTTGCGTTGGAGGAGAAAAAGCCCAACAAGAGTTGTTGGGAAAGAACCCATGTATATTTGTTGTAGAAAATAGAGGGGATGGATGCATACAGCAGGGACCTGAGGATCAGCCATGGCACCAACTTCGATATCCTCATCTTCAACCAGAAGAAGAGTGGGTGAGCTACGGGGGCAATCCTGGCGCAGTAGAAAACACAGAGCCACGAGGCAAACCAAAGTCCCAATTCATTTACAAACATGAAAATTACAAAATTCTCAACAAGTAGAGGGACTTCAATCAAAGAGACATTAGCCCGATTAATGTAGATGACTGACTGCAGACAAATCCTGGAAATCCCCAGGCAGGAAAGAAGGAGAGCCAATGGAATCATCTTTCTCTGCTTGGTCAACTCAGTGCCATTCACAACCACAATGATGCCGTTTGCTAAAACCCCGATGAGAAATTGTAACACTGCAAAAAGAAAATGGATAATAAGGTAAAACTCTAGCATTTTGGGAAGAAAAAAAATCAGTTACTTTAAAAATTGATGTATTTATAGATTTTTGGACAGTTTAGAGTATTCGAGCTTTCTGTTTTTCTTCAGCTAGACTAGAAGCCCTTTGGGGACCGTGCCTCTGACGACAAAAGCAGTGAAAGAGGAAGGTGGTGTACATTTGTTTATATCACCGTTTTCTCCAGTTTGGTTCCAAGGCAGTCAAATAAGAAAGAGATACCCCAGCAACGATTTGCTTCTTGGTGACAGCTTTTGCATTTTCCAGGTCTACTTAGCTTCCAACGTCATCACAAGCAAATGGTGGAACCAGACACCTTCAGGGCTGGGAGAAGGGCTCCTTCACTACATAATCAGTGGACGCTCCTCAAACCTTCATCCCCACCATGGAGATTGAGTGCTGCCTGTAGGTGTAATTCTACTTAATGTCAGTGAGGCATTCTTTAAAAAGACATGTCTTTGAAATGATCACTTCTGCTGTGACTGCATAGAATGGTCAGCAACATAGGACTGCTGAGTAGTAGTTATCCAATATGCAATAATTCAGCGATTCAAGACCACCGAAAGTTTTAAAGCAGTTATGTAATAAAATATATCTGATAAACAGAGAGGGTCACAAAAGATAGAGACAAAGGAATTAAGCTTGCATATACATGGATACAATCGGTCCAAAGCCTAAAGGAAGCCAAAGCCGCTGAGAGAATCACTTAGCACCATTCATACCTGTAACCATATGTGGGATGATACAGGCTTTGAAAGCTTTTTCCTGTTGTTTTCTCAATACTATGAGATTTTTATGACATGAGCTGGTTGTTCCAGGGGAAAAGTAAAAAAAAAAAAAAGAGTACCTGATTCACTTTGTTGTTATACTTGTCTAACAGACTATTTTTGGAAAACTTAAATTGGAATCTATTAACATGTATGCTGTGCCAGGTGTTAAACTAAACCAGGTTTTCTCAGTCTCCACACTGTTGCCATTTGGGGTTGGATAATTCTTTGGGGGAGGGGGGATGTCCTGTGTGCTGTGAGATGTCCATCATCCCTGGCCTCGACCCACTAGATGTCGGTAGCACACCCCACTCTTCTGCTGCGCCAGCCAACAGTGCTCCCAGACATTGCCAAATGCTCCCTGAGTGGCAAAACTATCTCTGGTCGAACACCATTATCCCAGCTGTTGGAAGGATAAAGGTGAATGGAACGTGGTTTTTGTCCTCAAGATGCTCAGAGACTAAGGGCCAGCCACATGTACAGAGTGACATAAAACCACGTTAGGTTTTTGGACGATTCACTACCAGAGCGCAAAGTGGGGAACAATTTTTTTTTTTTTAAAGATTTTATTTATTTATTTGAGACAGAGAGAATGAGAGAGAGAGAGCACATGAGAGGGGGGAGGGTCAGAGGGAGAAGCAGGCTCCCTGCCAAGCAGGGAGCCCGATGCGGGACTCGATCCAGGGACTCCAGGATCATGACCTGAGCCGAAAGCAGTCGCTTAGCTAACTGAGCCACCCAGGCGCCCGCAAAGTGGGGAACAATTTATTACACATCGGGGGGAATTGAAGCTTTTCCAGCTTAGCATGTGACCATACTGTTCCCTGCAGAACGCCCCTCCCCCCGCAGTGAGGCATGTCCTTATGGAAACATTTTACTTTGTCCAAAGGTGCCTTAAAGGATACTTAGAATGAATCTTCCTATTAGAAAACTGGGGAAGAAACCATATGAAAACATTAGCGGTGAGAATAAATCTCTACGTTACTCTATCATTCTTCCCCGAATATGTAATGTCTGTGCAGTGTGGGACTCTACTTTGTTCTTGTCTCACCTTCAATGAGATGAAGGGGACGAGCAGGACCATCATGAAAGAGATACCGAGGGAGGCAGTTCGTGAGTGGATTCTATCAAAAAAATCCAGATTCGAGCATGACAATCAGGGTCAATCTTGTTCCTCTCCCTCAGGTGGAAAGAAAAAAGTACTTAAAAAGTGCTTTGGGGTTTTACATTCTGCAGGCTGGAAAAGCAAAACAGAAGGGCCTCCACCTAGGGAATGATGAAGCCAGGAACTCTCGCGAGAGCAGCAGCGACTCCTTCCCTGGTTCTCCATCAGCCCCGCACTTGCACCCATCACCTGGGGGCCTGGGACGCTCTGCTCTGTGAGGGCCTCTCTGGGTTTCCTCCTCATCCCCGGCCCCATTCATTCCTTTAGTGTTTGGCATATGGTGCTTCTGTGAAGTAGAGCCAAAGCCGGTTACATAAAGCTTTTCACAGCAAAGGAAAAGAGAAGTAAATGTTCCAAAGTCACCTTGAAAGGGAATTTTTGTTTTCTGTCTGTTCCTGGAGACATCAGACCCCAGGCTCGCCGTCTAGCTCTTGCCTGTTGCCTCAGTACTGTCACGACGTTGACGTACTGAGCCCTTCAGCATGGCCTGGGCCCTTCGCTCTTGCAGAAAAGTCATGGTGACACAAGGCTGAAAGTGGACAAGATGTGATTCTGGGTCTAAAACCGCAGTCCAGTCTTCCAGCATTGACAGCAAAAGGGCAGAGAGAATGCATGGCACACCAAAGACTGAAAGGAAATAACTCTGTCCACTTGTGTTTATTAACTGCTGCTTGTCTTTTGGGTTCAAGCAACTTGAGGGGATATGTGGTTCTCAAATACTCTATTATAGTGTTTGTTACAACTAGCTTGGGGAGGAGAGGCACTCCTTCACAGAGAACTTTCGTTCACGTAGGTCTTCTGATGCAGAAATCCCAGGGAGGAAAAAATAAAAATTCATGAGGCTTAAGCGACATTTTTTTTTTCACGAAATAATTTCCATCATCAGCCTCTTCAGTGAGTACACACAAAGGCTGCCGACAAGGGCCACCACGCCGCCCTTCTGACACGGGAGGAAGGCAGAATACGACGTCTGTTCCTAGGAGAGCAGCATGTGTGGTTGCTAAGTCGATGCCCCATTCAACCCCCGACGGGGGCGTGGCGGGGGCGGCTGTGTGTCGCTGGTGGTGTGAGCCCTGCGAGGTGGTGTTCCCTGGCCTTCCCCCTAGATTCCACCACCCAATCAAGATAACCCACAGCCTCGGCCAGGCTCTTGTGCTAAGCCTGAGTGAGCCAAGTATTTTAATGAGCCATCCAACAGACCAACGAAAGAGAAAAAGGTCCTAAATCCAGAACCCCTTTGCGTCTTTTGAGCAGTTTGTTTCGGTGAGAAGGACACGTCAGAGAATTTCTGGGTCTGAGATGAAAAACGTACATGTCTGGCCTCACCTGTCAGTCATCGGCTCGGAATGGTGACAGTTTGACACGGACAAATGTCTTGGAACAGATGGAGCCAGTCCCGAGGTGGAGAAATTCACATGATGATTACCCCGTATTACCCTGATTAAATCCGCTCACTCGCACTCATCTGTAATGAGCAATCATTAAAGGAGACAACACTAAATATTCTCGAGGTAACTGACAGGCGGAAGGAGTTGCTTATTTATATTCAAATCATTCAGTGCCTCAAAAGCAAGTGCAAGGTTTTCACAGGCACTTAGATTGACAGTGGCGAGCTTTTCACCAGGTAGAAGGCTGCAATGATCATCTTTCTGCTTTCCAGTGGCACCCGGACATTTACTTTGAGATTAGAGCCATCATGAAAGTGAGTGATAGTTTTAATACCTTTCCCAAGTGGCTCTTCCCACTTGGTTATCGAGGGAACAATTCCTGCTTTAAGGATCATGTGCATGTATTAATATTATTGCATATTTAATAAGATCGTTCGAATAAGAGAGAGATAGACCCTGAGCAGACCAGTGCAGACACCCTTGCAGAATCTTCCCTGAAACAGAGCTCAGGCCCGGGGAAGCGTATGCGGAATTTATCACATCTCAAATTGACAGCCTTTTGGTTTGAAAAAGCTCCAGACTCTTTCAGACTAATCATTCTTTAAATCCGTTCATTTGTTTCTCTCCACTTGAATTTGCAGCTGATCTTTCGGACTACAATTTTTGTCTTTGCTATTCAGGTCACTCCCATTTACTTGTCCCTTCTCTTTCTCTGTGAGTCCTGGTAATGTATTTCTAGGCTTTTCTTTACTCTTCTCAATATGCTGAAATTTATGTACATGGCAGCAAGTAGAATCAGGACGCAATGTGGTAATACATTGAATTCAAGTCCTACACGTAAAGAACTCAATGTACTTTATAAACAAGAATCCCTTGTTAGTGACAATGTGGAAAGGCTAGCCAGAGAGGCTGCCCATGATTCCCACAAATAATCTCTAGTCCTCATGATTTTGTCTTCAGCTCGAAAGTGAGCTATGGAACTTCAAATCCTTCCCTCCCTTCTTCTTCACCTGTTGTCTCCCTACCTTTCTCTCTTTCTCCTTCTCCCTTCCTCCTTTTGTCCATATGTCAACACATATTTACTGTATGTATTACGGACTAGGCACTATTCAAGCATGGGGGACATAGTAATGAACGAGCCAGATGGAGTCTCTGTCATCTTGGAAATTACATTTTGGCAATTTGGTGGGGAAGATGAGAATTAAACAAGTAGAGAAATAAATACTTCCAGGTAACATAGAGAGGGATGCTATCTTAGAGAGCATGGTCAGGGAAGGCAGACTTCTCCCAAGGAAAGGTGATAATTGAAAAGCGAACTGAATGAGGAATCATGTCTTGATATCCAGGGGATGAACATTCCAAGTGGAGAGGGCAGGAGATGGCAATGCCTTCTTGAGTCAAAAAAAGAGCTTGAAGTGTTCCAGAAAAACAAAGGACCAAACTTTGCAGTTGCTGGAGCAGCATGAGCAAGGTGAAGAACCCAAGGAGAGGAGAATGGGGGGCCAGGAATGACCAGATCATGGAGAGCTTTGGGTCACAGTAAGAACAAGACTGCATCCTTCATGTGACAGAAAACCATCCTAAGGTTTGTGTGCGTGTGTGTGTGTGTGTGTTGGTGGGGGATTTGTCATAATCAGATCTATGACTAAAACATTTACTATGGCTGTTGTTAATCCAAA